ATAATCATATAATATTGCAAGATTTATTGTCATAATTTTTCCCTCAACCACCATGTCCACTGCTCGCTGTTTGCTCTTGAAAATGCATTCTACAAAGTGTTACGCCACTGGTTACAGACAGCATGCACCATGTGCAACCCCAGGACCATGGGCAGTTCATCAATCCACACCACGTGCAACCTCTTCTGGTCTCTTGATGTTTCTACACCATGTGCAACCAGCGTAGAACCATGGGAGTTATCAAGCCACACCACATGCAACCTCTTCTGGTCTCTTGATGTTTCTACACCATGTGCAACCAGCGTAGAACCATGGGGAATCCATCAATCCACACCACATGCAACCTCTTCTGGTCTCTTGATGTTTCTACACCATGTGCAACCAGCGTAGAACCATGGGAATTCATCAATCCACACTGCATGCAACCTCTTCTGGTCTCTTGATGTTTCTACACCATGTGCAACCAGCGTAGAACCATGGGGAATCCATCAATCCACACCACATGCAACCTCTTCTGGTCTCTTGACGTTTCTACACCATATGCAACCAGCGTAGAACCATGGGAATTCATCAATCCACACTGCATGCAACCTCTTCTGGTCTCTTGATGTTTCTACACCATGTGCAACCAGCGTAGAACCATGGGGAATTCATCAATCCACACCACATGCAACCTCTTCTGATCTCCTGTTGTTTCTACACCATAGCCTGGTTCACGTCGAACTTTATCTAGATATACCCGTCTTGAAACATGATACGATAATTGCGTTCGATGCCAAGTTAGAGCCAGATAAACAGCCAGCCAGTTTCAGGCTGTTGACGTCACACGGTGGAAAGGCTTGTTTAATAAAACATCTACTGTATTTTACGAACCTCTAGTACCAAGTGGTATTCATTCAAAAAAATTGTAAACTACTGTAGAGAAGGTGTGAGTTTCCACTACCTAACCTAGCCGACCAGTACGAACCAACGACAGTGCAGCAGTGTGTTCTATCGTAATCTAAGTAGTCGTAAGTAGTAGATTCTCTAGGCCCTAGCTAAATTGACCTTCGATAAAAAAAGAAATTTTTTAATCGCTAGCTAGCATTCTTCCATTTAACAAAATATTGTTTTAATTTTCATTAAAACGTCTGTATACTTTAAGAACATTTCTGTCTTGTTTTGTAGTTTTTAGATCGCTCAGTTGTGTTGTTTACATGCACTTCGCGAAAATCTAGCTTCGCGGTGTCAAATAAGTTGCTGACTTCCACACACTTTTTTATTTCGTCATCGTAAACATGTGCGCTCATTTTAACGACAGGCGTTGGTGGTAGTTCGTTGAAACTGAATTAATAGTGACTATTATAGCAGAAATGGAAAAGATTGAATTGTCAATAAATAAATAAAACAAATCTGATTTTATTATTAAGAAAAATATACATTATCACTTTGAAAAACATACGCAATCAGACTTTTTAACGTTATTACTTGGTCGATGATGCAAAGGTTATTGGTAATATCTACTATTCGTAAAACGGACGATTGCTGGGTTTTTACCCATAATATTACAAATAATTTTTGAAAACCAGACTAATGAGACTATTTCGATGCTGCTGTTAGCATTGTTGGAGTACGTTGTTGCCAGCCAGGAGATGATAATGGTGGTACAATACAACAACGCTGGCTTAGATGCCTACATTACGTAATCGTGTCCTTGTAATCCAAGCCGACTTTACCGTTTAGCAAGTTAATTTACCATTATTCTAGTAAAGTTAAGTCACTTAACTAAGTGACTTAATTCCTTTATCTAGCTATAATTGAGTGGTTCACGTCGAACTTTTAACTAGTTAAGTGGATCTATATCTAGATAAAAGTTCGACGTGAACCAGGCTCATGTGCAACCAGCCTAGAACAATGGGAGTTATTAAGCCACACCACATGCAACCTCTTCTGGACTCTTGATGTTTCTACACCATGTGCAACCAGCCTATAACAATGGGAGTTCATCAAGCCACACCACATGCAACCTCCTTTGTTCTCTTTTAAGTTTAATGCACCATGGGGCAAGCCACACCACATGCCTATTCCTTGGTGGGGTGGTGGCTTTCAAAGTCATGCACCACGTATAACCTCTTGATTACTGGTGAGTTCTTTATCACTGCTTCATGCAATGTAAATGCTTCTGTAAATGTAATGTATACTTCATTGTAGAATCTCAACATGACCTTCCAGAAAGTCAGCATTTCAAGATTGAAAACAAAACATTCTATTTTGACATGGGAAGTAACTATCGAGGTATCTACATGCGTGTCAGTGAAGTGCAGGTAAGAAACAATCAATTTGATATGAGCTGTAAATGTCTTGTAATCTACAAACAAGTAG